AAAAAGCAAAAATACCTTTGTTAATATTGGAGTCGATGTGGTAGTTGTTTTTTTTAATCCGAAATACAAATTCCGTTAACGGATTCCGGATCCGAATTTCGTATTTCGTATTAAAAAAAAAACTACCATCAACTCCAATATATTAACAAAGGTATTTTGCTTTTTAACTTCAATATAACGAATGTTGGTAACGGAACGAAATTCCGTTAATGGAATGTCGTATTTCCTGCCTGTATTCATTGTAATGCAACTCTCAGCAGCAAAAGAGAAAACCTCTGATTGGTCTACCAAACGAAATACGAATTCCATTAACAGATTTCGGATCCGAATTTCGTATTTCGTATTTAAAAAAAACTACCATCAACCCCAATATATTAACACAGGTATTTTGCTTTTTAACTTCAATATAACGAATGTTCATAACAGAACGAAATTCCGTTAATGGAATTTCGTATTTCCTGCCTGTATTCATTGTAATGCAACTCTCAGCAGCAGAAGAGAAAACCTCTGATTGGTCGACCAAACGAAATACGAATTCTGTTAACGGATTCCAGGTCCGAATTTCGTATTTCGGATTAAAAAAAAAACTACCATCAACTCCAATATATTAACAAAGGTATTTTGCTTTTTAACTTCAATATAACGAATGTTTGTAACGGAACGAAATTCCATTAATGGAATTTCGTATTTTCTGCCTGTATTGTAATGCAACTCTCAGCAGCAGAAGAGAAAACCTCTGATTGGTCAACCAAACGAAATACAAATTCCATTAACGGATTCCGGATTCGAATTTTGTATCAACTCCAATATTAACAAAGGTATTTTGCTTTTTAACTTCAATATAACGAATGTTCGTAACGGAACGATAACGGAATTTCGTATTTCCTATGTGTATTGTAATGCAACCCTCAGCAGCAGCGGATCCGTATTTCGGATTTAAAAAAAATCTTGTCATGTTGTTCAACTTCAAATTTCGTATTTCGGATCTAATTCGGAAACTGCCATTCGGATTTCGGATGCTTCCGAATTTCAGGAAAATTTGTACGAATTTCGATTCGTTACGAAACGAATCACACATGTCTAATGCCCTCTTCTTCCTCTCCGGGTGGTGGCGGGGGGAGGGGGAGCAAAGATGTTTCCTGGAGGAAAATGCCCAAGCAGCCGTGATGTGATTATTTGCCTTTGCAGGTCCCGCTCTGCTGAAGTACACAGGCAGCCAATGGCAGTGCTGCATTCTCCCTCCCAGCCAATAGCAGCTGAGGTGAACGGGGGAAGATTCAGGTGGCTGCCGTCTGCTGTTTACTTTCACTTCAGCAGAGCTGTCAAAAAGCTACTAGCAGTACCACAAGTTAAAAAATAAAAGGAAAAAACAATTTTAAAAAGGAAACTAATCCAGCCACCATATCTAAGAGCTGTTAAGCTGCAGAGCCAAAGGAAATATCACTGCTCCAATTCCTTAGCCACCATTAGGACTCCCCAGGTGCTGGTCTAATAGATGTGTCTCCACCTTAGAATGCAGCAGTATACGAACAGACAGCACTAATCAGAGAATTTCAATACTGCAGACTTTATTGAAATTATTGAAATTCACAGCAAATCCAGTATATCAGTGAATAAAAGTGTATAAAGTAACAAATGCCAGCACTGCACACCCCCAACCAGCTACAGCTCTCGGCGGGGTGACACTCGGTTACCGCTCCGGGTGTCACCCAGCCTCGGGACGCCCCTGCTCATTAGTTAAAGGTAAAACCAAAATTGATATGATAACACATGTAAATACATAAATCAAAAGTGTATGTAAAAAAAACTGCATCCAGAGTTATAAAAAGTGTAAGTACACGTTAAAAACAATATAAATATAAAATCGGAAAAAATAATCACGAACTAACCTCTTGATCAATCTACAATGATAATGTATTATCCATACATGAAATATCCAATGTAAAGAACATTCTCAATCTACAATATTATATATCCTACATTAAATATTCTAAATAAAGTATTGAGACGTCTCCTTAATGGATATACATTGATCATTAGCATAATCTCCTAAAAATACTATCAATTAAGTAACAGATGATTACTAAAAATCTTTCTTATCATAAAGGTCTTATAATAAAATATAAATAATCAAAATTTTGAATATCATAATATATGCTCTAAGGACATCAAATATGATAGATATTATCTGGAAACTACACTACTAAGGCTTGTTAGGCAAACAGAGAAACCCATAAAAAGTAGCTGAATGGTCCTAGGTTTATTTAAAATACTATATTCTAAGAACCATCAAGAAAAAGATCTTCCAAACACAGGTGTCCTAGGCAATTGCCCAGAACCTCAATATTTCAGAAAATGTCAAAAGCACAAATGTATTATCAAGTGATAAAGAAGACCAGAATCCATCAAAACTCATAACTGTTCAGATCAATCATAATAATATGTAACATCCCACTCAAAGTTTAAACCTTCAGGGATGCGAGTGTCTAGCTTGAAAATCCCAAAAAACGTCCCTTTTTGTCAAAAGGGAACCTCGATCCCCTCCTCTTAAAGGTGTATCAACTCATTCTATAATCTGTACCTTCATACTTTTAATATTACTATTATTATAGTGACAAAAATGTTTAGCTACGTTAGTATTCTTAGAGGATCTAATATTGGATAAATGATCTTTCATGCGGTCACACAGTCGTCTTGTGGTCTTACCTATATACTGTTTGTGACAGATGGTACAAGAAATTATATGTATAACAAATCGGGTCTGACAATTGGCTAGCTGGTTAATGTTAAATGTTGTCCCATTAGAATAAGAAAAGAAAAGCTGTTAAGCTGCAATACATAACATATTTGTTTTTGGGTTAAGAGCGGTATGCTTTAACTACAGTAGAGAAAGGTTTGGCTACAAGCCTGGCAGTACTGTTTTCTTCTCAAGAATGGCAGAAATACAAATCTTTTGGCAGGTAAAGTAGCTTTATAATGTTCCAACTGTATGTTTAGCTGTTTGCCCAGCATTACATTGTATCCAACCCTAATTTACAAATTTGGGAATGTGATTCCTTTGTCTGCAATAATACACTTAAGGCTTCATTTATAAAACTTCTGGCAGCTGCTGCTTGTATGGCGCTAGCCCCCTAGATGGTGCTGACAAGTTTAGGAAGTTTTATAAATTAAGCCCTTAATGAGTCCTTTTTATGCCCAAAAATACATTGCCAGTCCCATTCATCCTGTTTCCTTCAGACCATGTTAGGCAGAAAAGCAGATCCAACCTAGCATGATCAGTTGGTGTCTGTGCCTTCTGAATGGGAACTACAGGATGGCAAGCCAATATACACAGCCTGCCTGTAGGCCTGTGGTCAAACTGCTGTTGACATGCCCCCTGCCCTGTCTTCTGCTTGGGAGCTACAGAATGCTGAGTGTGCCTCAGTGGTCAGACGTCTGTGGACACAAAATGTTTGTCTTAGAATGGTATGCTACATGATTTAAACATTTTGGACAGACAGGGCTCACTACAATTTAAGCTTTATGATGCTTTTTTTTATTAGTGTTACTTACGTGCTATGCCTATGTTATGTTATTTCTATATTCATGAACAGCTGTTCCAGATATTTTGAGGGATTTGTACAAAATGTAATGTTTAAAGGTAGTTACACTTTAAATCCCCTCCTAAGTGTTAATTCTTATATGTACAAATATCAATATTTATTTTTCTTTTCTTTGATTATTAAAGTCTAACTCTAAGCTCTGAAGTATAACTCCTAAATCTATGTATAACTATAAAGAAAAAATGCTGCCATCAGTTACACTTTAAAGAAAACCAGTATTGAGAGAAATATGCAGCTGCCATTGCCATCCTACTCCTTACAATGGTAGCTGTCTAGCCGTTCCTGACTTCAATATTTTCTGAATCACTGACTTATGCAAATTAGAAAGTCAAGTGAAGTCAGAACTCTGATCTGATCTGCATACTTTGTTGCTGGTCAGTGACCCACAACTTCATGCAATTGGATCAGCATCACAGCCAGGCAGCTAACATTTTTACATAGTAATTACATAGTATTTGAGGTTGAATAAAGACATTAGTCCATCAAGTCCAACCTATTAGGATCTCATTCTAGGAGTACCCGTACCCCTGTATATTACGGTCCCTTAAGAAATCGTCCAAAAGTTTCTTGAACAATTCCACATTATTCTATCCACGTACACACCACCTCATCTATGCCCATAGCCCTCAGCTTGTGTAGCAAGCGTTTGTGTGGTACCGTATCAAAAGCCTTTGAGAAATCCAGATATACCACATCCACCGGCTTACCTCCGTCCATATCTCTACTTAAATTTATAAGGTTTTTTTATCACAATGTGTGCATTGAGGAATAGTAAAAAACAAAAACATTTGTAGTAGTTTTTCTTTTGCTGTTTGTGCCTTCCTGTTCTGCTGACACCGAGAGGCACTGCTTCTTGCACAGGTATCACACAGAAATAAAGCTGAATCTATCTTATAAATACCATTTAGGGTATGTCTATTCCAGATCTGGAGAAGATCTGCAAACACAGTGCAATGCATTCTTGCTGCATTTTTACTGCAATTTTGCCTGTTTTTTTAGCTTAAAATTGACTTTTAGGTGTAGTCTAGTGTGTTCTAGTGTGTTTGCATGTGTTCGTATGCATTATTGATGCATTTCCATGCATTCCAGGGCATTCCAGACCTTAGATCTTGGTCCATAAAACGCAAAATTTTCCTTGGCATCATTCGTGACTCTTTGTATAATAAAAGCACTACCTATAAGTCTACTTGTGTAAGGTACCCAGGTTACACAGGTTTAAGATTTTACTACCCACTTAGCTGTGTTGACTTTTTTACAGCTATTAATGGCATTCAGCAGATCCCTATCTATCACAGAGATAAACAGAAGTTATACCACATTACAGTACAGCTCACACCAACAAACCAAAATTTCAGCATACTGTATATAGCATGCAACAGGTGTGTATATATATCTTACCGCCTCCGTTTTTATAGCAGAGATAAGGGAATCTCCAGACATTGGCCAGATCCACTGAAAAACCAACAACTGATAGAAGAAAGTCAATTTTCTTGCCCCAGTGCTCCCTTTCTGGCTCTTCAATCACTGGTACCTCATATTTCTGAGAAGTATCTGGGGCGATAACTGCGTTATTTGTATACTGGATACCATTCTGTTCCTTGACTAAAATCAGTTCAACTTCTTTCTTTTCTGGGGAAAACTCATTGAAAGGAACCACAGCTGATAATCTATGGTCAGAATGAGCCTTAATGAAGAGCTTAGATTTCGGCATCGGAAAAGTGTTAGCCGTGCAACAAGATATGTATAAGATTTTTGAGAAAAGTAAACAGAGTGCAGTCTTCAATCTTTTTTTTCTTCAACTTTTCTTGCTGAAAGAGTAAGATAAACAATCAGTAAACATATTTTTTCCATCTGGGTATTAAAATATTTTATACAACTTGTGTTGCTGGATTTAGTAATTAAATAAGCTTTATAAACAAATTGGTCTAGTTTTCTATATTAAGCTAGGCTCCTTAATATAGCTGCTAACAGTCCCTGATTTCCAGAAACAGTCTGAGATTTTTTGTGACATATCCCTGGATATGTGTTTGATTTCCAGTATTTAATGATTTCACCAAAAAACTCCTGTTCTCTATGCTAGAACTAAGATTTAAAATCTGCCAAATGTATGCTTTTAAAATGACTTTTATAACCTAAAGCATTATTTTAAAAATTCCAATTTCATAAGATGTGTTTAAGAGTTAACATCCTGTGGTCCTCAGAGATGTTGGGGTGGAAGACAAGGCAACTTTTCCATGAAACTGAAGTCTGATATACAAATTACACTCACAGTTCAGTAACACTTCCCCTCTTCCCAAACAACCAAAAATGTTTCACATATAGATTTACATCATAGCAGAGATGTTGGTAAAACTGTTGCAGTTGGCTGTCCAAGATTTAAGGCACAGGGTGTGCAAACACAAACACACATACAACTGGATTTCTCTAATAATAATGACATCTAGATTTAGGATAGATAGGAGACTAAAAAATGTTTGGCTGGATACTTTTTCATTTGCCCCCACTTAGTAGTGACTCTACACACTATTTTACCAATTATATTTACATTTAGATCATAACTATGAAATGAGTGATTACTAAACAATGCTGTACTGAAATTTTTTTTCTAGTGTTTATAAAGCATTCCCATGTTACACAGCTCTTTGACAGAGTCCCTGTCCTCTGAAGAGGCTTACAAATAAATCCCTACCTCTCTTATACTAAAGCTTCCACAATAGCCATAATATTGTCATGCTACTTGCTAATGTATATATATACTGGATTTTAAGAAAAGTGCAAAGACTTACCAGCTTGCAGCAAGTAGAGTCATGGGTTCAACATCAATAAGTCTTTCAGTGAATTCATATGGAACAACATGAAGACCACTATTTCTATCCTTGACCTCTTCAAGTGAAAACTCTGTGATACTTCTGTTATGAGGAAACTGTAAAGAATAGAAAGATGCCAGCTTTTTAAACCATGATGCACTCTATGCACGTGCTGTTTGTTAAATCAATACACCCACTGTAGACACTGGAAACTCAGCAGCACCACCTATGGATACTACAGCATATAATAACCAGCAATCTGCAAAGAATACTTGTGTTTACACTGGGAATGAGAGTTTTTGGATTTTTTTTTTTTTAAAGCCAAAAGCAAGTTTATTAAGCAAATTATTATATATCTCTTAAACATCATGCATTACAAGGACATATAAGCAATCTGAAATGTGTAAATTAGCATGCCCTTAGGTTGAGCTGCAGAAAATGTACGAGAGGGATTATCTGGATCACATCAAATGTAATTTATATTGATGTCCCCACAGGAGCATAACAGAAAGTAAGAATTAACCTGTTGGCTACTCATTTTTTTTTTAGATTTCTACAGCAATTGATTTATTATCCAAACTGTAAAAGCTATTTAGTAAATATTAGTTATGCTTCCTTGTGAAAATACATCGGCCATATGTGCAAAGCAGTTTTTAGACTTATTAGTTTCAACAGGTAAAGAAATATGCTTCAATTAAAAAAAATGGAACAGATCCTTGTGTAGAGATCGCTTGACAAATTAGTGTACCTTTTGTTTTTATATTTGTTTTTACATAACGTTTTCTTCAGTTATTGTTTTTTGCTTCCTAAATCTCCAATGAGTTTTTCTGGGAAAACACAAGTGCTGTTCTTTGTTTTAGTTTAATCACTTTTGGTTAATCTAAGCACACTTAATATAGGATATTATAGTATTAACATATGACAAAATTATGTTTTAAAACTGCAGTTTAGCTTCTCTGTTCTTACTAGAGTCGACTATCACTTAATATTGTAAGCTGTGAAAGCCATAGATAACTCATAACAAAGATACTGTAAATACACTGATCAACCATAACATTATGGCCATCTGCCTAATATTCAGTAGGTCCTCTATTTACTACCAAAATACAGCCCTGACATGTTGATGCATGGACTCCACTAAACCTCTGAAGGTATGCTGTGGTATATGGCACCGAGCCATCAATTGCAGATCCTTTAAGTCCTGTAAGTTGCAAAGTGGGGCCTCGTTAGATCGGACCTGTTTTTCCAGCACACCTCACAGAGGCTCCATTGGATTGAGATATGGAGAATTTGGAGGTCAAGTCCATACCTCACACTTGTTGTGTTCCTCAAACCATTCTTGAACCATTTTTGCAGTGTGGCAGGGTGCATTACCCTGCTGAAAGGGGCCACAGTCATCAGGGAATACCATTTCCATGAAAGGGTGTACTTGATCAGCAACAATGTTTAAGTAGGTGGTATGTGTCAAAGTAACATCCACATGAATAGCAGGACCCAAGGTTTCCCGGGAGAACATTGCCCAAAGCAAATCTTCACATAGTGCATCCTGGTGTAATCTCTTCCATCGCTCTGTGGTCCAGTTCTGATACTTGCATGCCTGTTGTAGGTGCTTTTAGTGGTGGGCACAGTTCAGCAAGGGTGACAGTGATCGCTCTGAAGCTACACAGCCCCATACACAACAAACTGCAATGCACTATGTGTTCAGACACTTTTTTTAGTAGAACCAGCATTAACTTTTTCAGCAATTTGAGCTCTCCTACTGAATTGGACGTACATTAATGTGCTTTGGCCAACCATGACCATGTTGCTGGTTCACCGACTGGTTTTCCTTCCTTGGACCACTTTTGGTAGGTCCTGACCACTGCAGACCAGGAACATCCCACAAGAGCTGTAGTTTTGAAGTTTCTCTGACCCAGTTGTCTAGCCATCATTTGGCCCTTGTCAAAGTTGCTCAATTCCTTATGACTGCCCATTTTTTCTGCTTCCAACACATCAACTTCCGAAAAATGTTCACTTGCTGCCTAATATATACCACCCATTGCCAGGTGACATTGTATCATGTAATGAAAGTTATTCGGTTAAACTGTCAGTTTTCATAATGTTATGGCCGATCGGATTTAACGGAAAATTGAATACTTGCCTATCGGTAATTTTTCTTTCCTGACGCCAATACACAGCAGCAAACACATGGGTATAACTCCGCTCCAATGTCATTACTAACTGAATGGCATTTAGTTTGCTAAAGAACTGTGAATCATAAACAACTGCTTTTACTACTACTATTTTTTTTTAAAAATACATTGTTTATTGTTTCACAACATAGCAGACATCAGTGTATCGTACAGTGACAGAAAAAGTTATTCCAATACTGTTATGGTCACTAACATAATCTACTGGCATCAAGCTAACATCGTCCGGAACATATAAGCTTATTGCAATTCGTCTCATATCCAGTTGAAGTCATATGTCAATTTGAAAGGAATATTCACGCTTCCCCTCTCCGGTGGGGCCCATCAAACTGGAATTACATTCCTACTCCTGCAGGCCGCCCAAGTGGATCAGCCCCGTCCCACCGGGTTACGGCTGAGCCGGAAAATAATCCGCCTGTACGGAATGAGTAAAGTTATGCACACTGCAATTTCAGAACATAGTCAACTAAATAAGTCAATTTGGCATCATAACCGAACAACATAAATACGAAAGTGGGGCACGCCCCGCTCCCCTGAACTGCCACCAGGACATGAACCTTTGCACATATGTAATGGGGAACTTTTTAAGAGAGCGTGGGGCGGCCCACTATTGCGTGGTTGCTCTCGTGTTGTATCTCATCACCGAGCTGTAGAACAAAAGGAAGGAGGTCAGAGAAAGAGAGGGTATAAAAGAGAGAGGGAAAAAAAGGAGACAGACAGTGCGCCAGCCACATCTCAGTGGCCGTCATATACCCTAATCAGGAATCGTCTTCCTCACCCATCACTCCACTGTGTTGCTGGAATCTCTCATGTCTCAGCCACGTACGCAGCGGAATGTGTGAAATGTAGCCAGGCATCCAGGTGGACCTGAAGCGTTCCTCCTCATTTCGCAAGGAGGCCGTTAGGTCCTCCATACGGTATATGTCATCCATGATACCTAGCCAGAGTTGTACCGTGGGGGGGTTAGGCAGTCTCCACAACAAGGGTATGCAAGACCTGGCCACGTTCAGCATGTGCACAGTCAGAGACTTTTTGTATTAGTTTGATTTTGGTGGATGTCAGGTGTAGGAGAAATACCCCCGGGTCATCTGGTAGGGCCTCGATCACTAGCAATACAGTATGCATAGGTGAGCCCGTGTATACACCTGCATATAATCATGCACACATATGTGCCTAAATGTCAATATAAATCTTAGCTACCTCACGTAATCGGGGGACAACCCTCCTACCCCAGGTACTGAAACCAGAAAATGTCGAAGCTGGTATGCACTCCACACTTATAGAGGAGGATCCAGCAAATTCCGGATGGCATCAAGGGACATCCACATACTGTCCACGATAAAATCACAGAGCCTGAATTTTCCAATTACCAACAAGCGTCGTAGCGGGCCACTGCCCAGCCCCGGGGGGAAGTCTGGGTCACCCAATACCGGAGTCATGGGAGAGGGGTGCGGGGAGAGTTCCGTGGACTGTAGCGTCGCCCTTGTGGAAGTCAATGTCGGGGCAATTAGAGGATGAGTAGTCAACTCTGGGGGCAGTGGAGAGGAGAGCCGCGCTAGGCCTGTAAGTGGTACCTCAGATTCGAGCACGTCCATCCCCACCCACCGTTTCTGACTGTAATCTAGAGAGATGGGTCACCCTATGGTAAAGCCAAATGTCCGGGAGGCCTACCCCTCCTCTATCCTTGGGTAGGATCAATAGGCGGTATGCCAACCTCGGTCTCTGTCGCGCCCAGATGAAGGATACAAACAGCCGTCTCATCTGGGTGAAAAAATTGGGGGGGGGGGGGGGGGACGGATCGGCAATGTCTG